GAATCTGACTTTTTAAATATATAGCATTCCATTCTCACTACTGGATGTAAGAAATTCAAGATCCCTTTTTCCTTCTTCATTCTGCACCATATTATTCATTGTTTTCATTCAGTAACTCAACAAAATCTATTGAATATCTACTATGTGTCAGGCACACACATACAACTAGGAGCCAGGAGATAGTCATGGTAATAAAAAGACAATATCAACCATACCTAGCATCCACATAGTACTTTCTGTCATTAAAATTACACATTAGATCATTTAATTCTTAAATCAATTCCTGAAAGTAGATGCAATTCTATGCCTACTGTTGGATGAACCACTGAGATACATAGAAAGAATAGTTCTCCAGGTCACACAAGTCAGTGTCACATTCAGATTTCAAACTTGCCTCATTTAACTCAAACATACATGCTCTTGACCTTTATTCCAAATAAAGGAAAACAAGGCCTAGGGAACTTGAACTTGTGATGTGCTGGAAAACAAACACATACACAGCCTGTAATTTCAAATGCTGATGAGATCTACTGAAAGCATCAGGGTGCCATGAGAAAGGATGTTACAAAACTGCAAAGGTTCTTCCTGCAGGCTAACAAATACAGTGTTGACCTTTGGTGACTCTCATCGCATCTAAATGGCAGTTGTGAAATTTATGGAAGAAAGGTGAAGCTGAAAAGAAGTTTTAAAAGAAACTAAGGCTTGGATGAACTTACTAAGCAACTTAGCACTTAACCCTTGCAATAGCTTTGCCATCTGGTGGTCCTTCTTTTTGATACACTCAGAAGGAACACACACACACACACTATATTATACGTAACCTGGGGAGCCTACTTTGTTCTTATCTTTCCTGCTAGAGAAGGGGCTCCTTGCCAGCATACTTTTCTGCCACAAAAGCAATTGTGGATACAAAGCTTGTAATAAAAAAAGGAAGGAAGGAAGGAAGGAAGAAAGGAAGGAAAGAAGGAAGGAAGGAAGGAAGGAAGGAAGGAAGGAAGGAAGGAAGGAAGGAAGGAAGGAAGGAAGGAAGGGAGGGAGGGAGGGAGGGAGGGAGGGAAAGAGAAAGAAAGAAGGAAAGGAGAAAGAATAAGAAACAAAGAAAGAGAAAGAGAGAAAGGAGGGAGGGAAGGAAGGAAGGAAGGAAGGAAGGAAGGAAGGAAGGAAGGAAGGAAGGAAGGAAGGAAGGAAGGAAGGAAAGAAGGAAGGAAGGAAGGAAGGAAGGAAGGAAAGAAGGAAGGAAGGAAGGAAGGAAGGAAGGAAGGAAGGAAGGGAGGGAGGGAGGGAGGGAGGGAGGGAGGGAGGGAAAGAGAAAGAAAGAAGGAAAGGAGAAAGAATAAGAAACAAAGAAAGAGAAAGAGAGAAAGGAGGGAGGGAAGGAAGGAAGGAAGGAAGGAAAGAAGGAAGGAAGGAAGGAAGGAGGGAGGGAGGGAGGAAGGGCGGGAGGGAGGAAGGGAGGGAGGAAGGAAGGCAGGCAGGCAGGCGGGCAAGGAGGGAGGGAGGGAGGGAGGAAGAGAGAGAAAAAGAAGGAAAGAGAGAGAAAGAAAGAAGAGAAAGAAAGAAATAGAAGAAAAGAAAAGAAAAGAAAAAAATACTACTTACTCCAGGCTTCTAAGAACAATTCAAGATGTATAACATCATCAGTAATACAAATTATCTTTATGAGTTTTGGCTATTAATAGAATGGAGCAATTCCATAATGAAGTACTATTTGAATGAGAATAAATGAACACAGAAACAGAGAACCAAGTTTCCAGGGCAAATTTCTTTTCCATCTTGATTTTAAGTGGGGAAAAAAAGGTGTACTTCATTGTCTTGCTTGACCAATTGTAGCTCTACCCTTCTCTTCTTGGTAAAGAACTCACACATGGTGGGTGGAGGGAGTTTCTCTTTTCTTCTCAAGAAGTTGTCTGTATGTACATTTGGGAAGTTTTACATTTCTGGCTGTCATTATTTGACACATTATTTTGTCCTCAGTCTTTATATGAGGCCTGGTCCATAAATAGATGATTACATCCGAAGGTAATTTAGCACCTAATTCTGTTTTTCCACCGTATCTCTTACCTGAGGCTTATGACTTGAAGAGGAGCAGGAGAGGGCACTGTGCACATAATTGTGTCAATAATTACATGTACATAACAGTCTAAATACTTGAGCAACATCACTTCCAGGTCCAGTAAATCAGAACCAGTAACTTTCTGGCTCACTGTTCCAAATCATAAAAGGAATAATTGGTAAAATTGTATGGCCACAAGACAGTCTCTTGCTTCATCTTAATGTATCCTTTCATATAAGACTTTTATATTCTACCTGGCTCTGATTTATGATGTTACTATATTAAAATGCTTAGATAATTAAATATACAAGTCAATTATTTGGCTTCCAATCAGGGTCAAAATGTCTTTATAAGAAAATAGTACCTTAGTCTTATCTTTCATAGTAAGCAAACTGTACTTGGAATTAGCCTGGACAGTTAAACTAAGTATGAAAAGCCTAGGTAATATTAAAGAAGATTAAACAGGAAAAATCCAAAGGTTTGACACTTAAAGAACTTTCAGGACATTATGTTAAATTCCTTGTTAGTGTTATCCAATTTTTTAAAAAAGCTAAAAAATGTTAAGTGTGATATTCTTCAGAAAAACTATGTCTCATTTCTTTAAAATCTGTGAATAGAACCGACTTTGATCCTTATTTGACCTTTTAGCAGAATCCATTCTTTATTAATATATCTGGCTTAGTAAAAAAGACAAACTCAAAATAGAATACCAAATACATTGCAAGTAAAGAGTTTTTTTTTAAAGCATGCCACAACTCATTTCTCCAAATGAAGTAAACTTCCTTATCTTCTGTCATCAAGTTATACATGGCAAAGAAATCAGAATAGTGTATGTATGTCAACAGTCCAGAGCATAGATTTCCCTATTTCAGAATAAATGCTTTTTATGTGTCCCACTCCAGAAAGAGAAAAAAAAATGTGATAGTTGCAGTCGGTATTAACTTTGAAGGGGATAATTCTTGCCCAAACATCATTTTCTTTCTTTCTACTTAAAAAACACGGTCTTAGAGTAGGAAACCCCATAAAATAAAATAATTAAGAACGTGTTGTTGAGACATCACCTGCAAATTACTTGCAGACCTTTGGAAAACAATCTAATTTAAACCACCAGTCTAAATAGGTCATTTAACTTAGAAAAATTAAAATTAGCCGAGCGGGGTCAAATCTTTTCCTACAACATCTGCATCCTTTTTGTCCTATTCAAAGTCAAACCAGAGCTAAGTACTAAGAACCATGGCATTTAAATGTATTCAATCCTGCTCTTGCAATGTCCATAAAAGTTAACATTGTGTATAAAAACAAGTCCGGAGGTAGAAGTTGGGGATGAAGAGACAGAGAAGGTGAATTCTTACATTCCTGCAGGATATTGGCATGGGAGAAGGGGCGGGTCTCTACTTATGCTCACTTTCTTGCTTTTTCACAAACACACTTTCACAATTAACGTAAATCAAAACCAATCACTTAATACACTTAATACAAAACAAATACTTCCCTATATATTTAGTGTCTCACAAACTTCTCTTGTATCAAACTAATGATGCAAGATCATGAATTTTCATATTCTTGTCCAGCATCTTAAAGGATTTAATCATTCTACTCACTCTTGGAAATGCAGGAATTAAAGTCTCTACTCCCTAGAAAACATTCCCAGGAATAAGATAAACAACAAAACCTTGAAACTAAGATCGTTAAACGATATTAGTAAAAACAAAAGAGGGGAAAACTTTCTCTGCCAAGACACTGACTCTGCTCTATTAACCAAGCTATCCACAAAATCAAAAGGAGATCCAAGGACTCTAGACTTTAGAAAGATAAAGACAAGCAAGGTGGCTGGAGGAAAGAGAATACCATCCAGGGAGATACAGGAGGAGCTAGCTAGTTTTGTGTCAGGACTCTTCAAAGCCACCAGGAAATGTACTCTCCATCCTTTCTGGTTTAAAAGTAACTTTGATGCTCAAAAAAAAAGGGGGGGGGAGAGAGTACTGTCATACTCTCTATCTGGCAAAATCACCAGGGATGTTAATGAAACTGATCTTTCTCTCCATCCACTTCCCCAACTCCACTTTCCCATGAAGAGAACTGAGAGAGCTCATTTACTCCTTGGATTTAAAGACCTTTGCTCTGACAAGGAGGCACGCTGAAGGCTGGGCTTTGGGGTACTGCTAAGAAACAGACACATACACACACACACACACACACACTATATATATATATATATATATATATATATATATATATATATATATATATATATATATATATATTCCCTTCAAACAGAATTCCCCAAACAGAATTAGGATTTACTCATCTCCAGATGAACGATAAGATATGTACCTTGGCCCAGGACAGAGAAGAAATTGCACGCCGAATCCCCTCCCCATATCTTGCCCCCCCCTCCACACACACACACACACACACACACACACACACACACACACACACACACCATGAAGCAATGACAGAATTAGTCCTCCTAAGGGGCAAAGGGCAGAGGTAGGCTGCTCCTTCCCCCACATGTCTCTGAAGCCTCTCTTCACGCCCCCTCCCCCGTGTCGCTCCCTCCTCAGTCCCTCAACACAGACAGACAGATAGACACACACACACACACACACACACACACACACACACACACACACCCATCTCTCTCAGTGGCCGCTTCCCACACCCCATCTTTAGTTCTGAGCGGGACTCAGCCCAACAACCAACCTCTCTGAGAGCCTCCAGCGCGCCCCGTCGGGGTGGCGGGCTGGGGAACCCCGGGGGGGGGGGGGAGAGGGGTTCCGGGCTTCCAGGGCTCCCACTCCCGCCTCCTCCCACCCACCTTCAGCCCGAGTGGACTAAGTTGCCCGGGACCCTGCTGCGCTCCCGGTCCCTGGCCCAGCGGCCGGGACGCCCAGGGGTCCCCACAGCGCCCGCCCCGGCTCCGCGGAGCTGAGCGCGCACTCACCGGAGGTGAGCTGCATCCAGGCACAGATCTTGTACACGGTGGCCGTGTTGCAGAAGAAGAAGAGGGTGAAACACACGATGCAGGCGATGATGAGCATCATAGAGAGGCCGATGAAGAAGGAGGCGGCTTTGAAGGCGCCCGAGGGCAGCGTGGAGAAGTCCGTGAAGCTGCCCCTGCAGGTCAGCTCCCGGGAGAAGCTGTTGCCGATGCAGTAGTGGAAGAGCCCGAAATAGCCGGCTTGCGGGGTGTCCACGCCGTCGCCGATCCAGTAGGGCTGGATGAAGCACACCACGTTGACGATGGCAAAGCAGATGGTGAAGATGGCCCACAGCACGCCGATGGCCCGCGAGTTCCGCACATAGTTGGTGTGGTACAGCTTGGCAGCCTCCTGAGCCGGGAGCATCGCGGCGGCGGCGGCGGCAGCGGCGGCGGCTCCGGGCATTCTCCCCCTCCTCCCCCTCCTCCTCCTCCTCCTCCCCCTCCTCCTCTTCCTCCTCCTCCTCCCCCTTCCCCTCCTCCGCCTCCGCCTCCCGGTCCTCCGCCTCCCCGCGCGCAGGAGACACCCTCGCCGAGCCGCGCGCGCTGCAACTCCGCCTCAGCCCGGCAGCCCCAGTTCCAGAGTCTGCATCCTCGCTCCCGGAAGGAGGGCGGGAGAGCGCGGAGCACCCCTCCGGCTCGCCTCCCCCCTCCCACCCCCCCCCCAGCCCTCGCTCGCTCTCCCTCCCGCCTGGCCCGAGCTCCAGCCCTGCTCGCCACCCTCCACCCCCTCTCCCCACCTCTGCCTCTGCAGCTGCTGCAGCTGAAGGCGGGCGGCGAAGCCCGCGCGCCCCGGCCACTGCGCTGCCCGCCCCGCGCGACCCCCGGGATGGCCCTGACGCCGAGGGCAGCGGGCGACCACGCGGGCCCCGAGGCCCTAAGGACAGGACAGGAGCACCCACGCAGGAATCCTGGAGGCGCCGCCACCACCCCACCCCGGATCCCGCGTGGTGCCGGGGGCCGCGCTCCACAGGCCGATTCTGGGAGCTTTTCATCACCGCACAGCAACGTGCTTCGCCCCCGGTGCGGGAGGAGAGGGGGATGCGCAGCAGGTACCGGCAGAGAAGCCAAGCCAGAGATATGCCCGGCTTCCCTTCCCCACCCTGACTTCCCTGACACTACCAGAGAAGCGCCCCTGGCTAACTCCTTGGTCGACAGGTGGAGATCGAAGTTGCCGAGCATGGGAGACAATAGTGTACAAGACAAACCTCCAGGGTGGTCTCAAACCTGCTTTACTGAGCTTGTCTGCTCTGCACGTTTTCCCACGCTGCAAACAAATGACACACCGCCGGTGATCACTCACCTTTTCCTCTAATCCGGCCATACTACAGCTTTAGGCCATAAAACCTAGCATAGATGGGCCCTGTGGATGCACGGAAGTGATTGTCACCAAATTGTGTGGCTGGTTTGAACACATCCCACTAGTTTGACCAGTGTTCCCCATTTGTGGCACAACTATTCATTGGCAGCTTCTCTGTGTTAGGGATTCAAAGGGGATGGCAGCAGATGATTGTCTTAATTGTCTAGGTATTTCCATCTCCCCACAACCTAACGCTGCATTTCATGAGAGTTGGTTGCAGTATAATTACCTCTGAATTATCCCCATATGATTCCTTATATTTTCATGTAACATTACTGCTGTGTACCTACACTTGGCGCTGTTTCCTTAGTTTACTTTTCCCATTCCCCCCGCCCCTAACCAGTGTCTTCGATTGCTCTTTTGACAATCTCTAACTTTCAAGATGTGTTTCTCTATTTCCACTGGTCACTGTTTTAGCTCTTTTTGTCTGTGGAATAAAGCAATATGGAACCCCACTGCCCATTCGGTGAAATTGGAATGCTCAATAGCAGGAATAGAGTTTGCTTACAAACCATTTTGAGCTTGGGAACTCTGGATTCACTGAGCAAAAGGAAGAAAACATACAATTTGCTACCCAAGCCTATTTTAATTGGCTATCTGAATGACTATTCAAGACAGAGGGATCATTCCTAAGTGATAGAAATAATTATGGTCATCTGATAACCTGAAGATTTGAGGTTGTATGGGGAGGGAAAACAGGAAGAGAAGGAAAACAGGGAGACAATGGAAGCTGAGATATGGGCGCACAAGAAAATGATGAGGCTGTTTCTACCACTTGGAAAATTTTGCTTTCTCTGTAGGAATTCAGGCATTGCAGAGCAAGGTCCATCCACTGGGCTTTGACAATCATTAGGGGACATAACTAGATGGTAACTTGATAGATGTAAGTTTAAGGAAGCCAGAATTTCTAGCAAGTGTAGTTATAGACTCTCCAAAGGTGCTTAAACTATCAGAAGGATTTAGGGAAGAAGAAGAAGATGGCTTAAATGTGGGCCAGCCCATTATGGCTCTTGTTGGGTTTTGGAAAATACAATTCATGATGATGATGCATCATCCGGGCATTGGTGGCAATGGAGGGTCAGAACTTCTGGTAGGTTTCATTTGTCTTAACTGCCCTAAAGCGGATGGTAAGTCAGAAATTTTTAATAAGGAGGAAAGGTGGGAGTAATCAAATTTATAGAGCCATTTGGCAGTCCTTGTTTCCCAAGAGTGGAGATAGCTTCAAGGCAAGAACTGACAGTAATTTTTAATGACTTTCTCCAGCACTAAAATATCCCAACCCTGATTGTCTAGAGTGGTCTTCCTTTAAAATCAGTGCCTTAAAAAAAGCAAATCTTACTATGCTGGAGAGAGTTGAGGTGGGTGGCTGCTAAGAAAGGGAAGGCTGAGAATCAAAAATCCTAGTTTAGATCTCAATGCTTAAATTGCCTTCATAGGACAAAGAAAAGACTGGCAAATGATTCAGATTCAAAGGTTGTGATTCAACAAGCTTTTCTGTTTGAGTCATGTCCAAGGAAAGCCTTATTCTTATTCTGGTTTGGAACTGCCTCTGGATTAATGCTCAGAATCACTATAACAAAGAGTAAATTCAAGGTATCCACTCTTGTCCATGGCAACTAGGAACAGTCCAGTACTGATGCATTGTAATCGAAAGTGCTCCTTTGGATCCTCTTTTGAGATATGTTGTTTGCTTCTTGAGAACAGCCTAGAGCCCTTAGCTCCACGTGCATCCTGCCCTGCACCACAGATTACCAGCTGAAGTCATCCCTTCAAAGTCTCTAAGAACTAGAGATGAGAAGCAATACCTGCTATTAATGAGTATAAATTGACCTTCAACACTTTGTCAAATAAATCTTGTCCTTAACAACCAGGAATCCCAATGCTAAGACTGTTACCATCCATAATTTAAGACCCTTGGCTTGAAACATGTAGACTTTAAGAGTTTAGGCAGCTGACCATCTGAGCAATGCATTCATCAAATCTGCCTGATCAGGAGAGCTGTTTGGGGAAGGAAGAAATAATAAAACTAGCCTGATTCATGCAAAGAAGTTACTATTGATAGCAAAAGTATTTTCAAACTATAGCATGATTCATATGTGCTAAATAACTAGTAGGTGTCAGTGTCATAAACAGCATTGAATTAGAATCATGGGACACTCAAATCTCAAGCTTCACTGTTGAAAAATACTTTTACTGCCACAAAGGGTCAGTAGTGAGACCTACTCTTTGCACAACTATGTCTCAGTGATTGTTAGGACTATGAAAGAGAAAGCAGCAGAACAGTAATTGGAGTCTGTAACTTGATTTAAAATCAAAGGTCCTGGATAAGGTACATAAAGAATACAAATTAATCCAAGTAGTATGGAGAAGTGCAAAAGCCTTAGACAGCATGAGACTTGACATCCCCACTCATCATTGCCTAACTTAGCAAAGGATCTTGGGGTTCCCATTTCTCTTCTCTAGAATTTGATTAGGAAAACAACAGATCAATTCTTCTAAGATCCCTTTTCCCAGTGAAATTCTGTTCTACAAAGTTTGAAAAAAGTTTACAAAGAGAGATGCAACCTGGTCCTTGAAGAAAAATTAGGCAAGAAGAGGTATCAGCCTGTGGCAAAAATTTTACTTAAAACAGAAAAATCTTCCTGAAATTGCATAGGTATAACTTTGCAAGCAGTGGATGCTTAGAAGTTTCACATGAGTCATTGTGATGCCCTTGAGTAATAGAGACAGGATTTCTAATATGTTACTTAATTGATTTTTAGGACTATTACTGAGGCCACTATTACATCTCACTCCAGAATACAAATATTCCAATAATGAAGCGCTGTTCATTCACTAAGGGTTTCACTTTGCTCATTCCCCTCCCCCCTTTAATTTTCTTTTAGGGTTTCTAGAAATCAGAAACCACCTCTTAGTTAATAAATCACTGAATTAGAAGAAGCAGTCAGATGGGTGAGTGTGTGAACAGTGCAAATCAAGATCAAATTGATCACAGAACTCTTCATTGCACCTTGGTCTATACCATTTTGCAATGAGATGTAGAACCTCAAAAAGGAGAGATATGGGAAATGGGAATATCAGTTTCTCTTTTCCTCCTTGTATTGTATTTATACAAGTACCCTCATTTATAAGATCCCCCCACCTCATTTTCCAGAATCTGGTTAAGAGCAAAAGTTGTTTTCGAATACCTCATAGCTTGTTCTAAAAGAATCACAACCTTGTTCACCTTTGGATTGTCTTGGTGATTTCAAAAGGGCACTATCTGAAACTAGGTAGTAAACTGGAATAAAATACATAATCATCACTTCAAATGTGATTTTTATTCCATCATGGAGTGATAATATAATAAAACTTAAAGTTCAGCATGGTGGTTTTATTCTTATTTAATCAAGAACTAATTAGACTTCCTGGTTAAAAAAATCTATTTAGTATATAAATACAGTTTACAGAACTTCCCCATTCATGGTATACAGTGATTGAAAAAACACAAAATCAGTTTGGACCATCTACCTTTGTCCCTTCAACTTGGAGTTCATATTTGAAAGTACTGCTCAGATTCTCTTTTAAGAGCATCTGTACCCATCAATTGTGCCTCTTCTACTTTACAATCACTCTCCTCTTAAACCTCAAATTCAGCTTTTTTTGAGAATATCCCAAGCCAAGTAATCTATATTTTGGGTCCTATAATCTCAACATCTTTCTAAATGTAAAGAAAATCTACACAGATTTTTTTTTGCTGAGGTAACACAAAAATATTAATTTTCATAATTGGTTACTTCTGCTGGAGAGGCACATTTTTATGACTTTCTTAGTCGACTTTTGATGTAAAAATAACTCAGCCTCTCAGTGACTTACGACCATAATCATTCCCTTCTAATCAACACCTCATAATGTTGCTGTTTGGCTACAACACTGTTGTAGACAGCAGGGCTAAATACAGAGCTCTTCTTTTCATTCTGGAGTTCAAGTTGAAGAGAAGCTCCCATTCAGATTATGTTACTTTATGACAGAGAACACCTATGGAAGAGGCTAAGGTAAACTTTATG